CCTGAAGACACAACCCTGGAGTAGCTCGGTATGGAGATGCGTATTAAAAGCATCTCTGAAAGCAATTTGAAGTCAGATGCTACACATGTTGTTTGGGGGCTTCCAAAATTTTAAATTCATGTATAAATATTTAAATTATCTTGTAAAAGATAGCACTGGATGTTTCAAAGCCATGTTTTATACTGAGCTTCTGAATTAAATTCATTCTTAAAAAAAAAAAAAAAAAAAAAGCAGCAGATTTCAAACTCATTTTCTCAGGTACCACTAAGAAAGGAGAGCTCTTCCCACCAGGCAATACAAAGTCAACTGTTCAGGAAGTGTTATCATGCTGTTTTAATGCAGCATTCAAAGTACAAATGGAATCTATATCACCTTTTGGGAAGCCTTTTACTAATAATTTCCTTACCTGTACAAAATATAAAGAGAATCCTGTAATAAAAGGATAATCAAATTTATCAAGAATAAAATAATGAGTGCTAGGTTTCAAAATCAGTGAAGACTGAAGACAGCAGACTGATATTGTACTTGAGAAAACTGAAGTTACAGATAACCATAGCACACAGTTAAATGAGAAAAAAAGGCCACCACAAACAGCATTATTTACTCTAGTTCCGTTATCTTCTAATTCACAAAATATATGAGTTCATGTACATTTTGTTGGGTCATCATCATCACAAATACACGCATTTGAAAAAAAGAAGGAATAATCCTTTTACGGATACCTACTGCATAGATTCATGTAAACCCAATCTCATTTTCACGACTCAGAGTACAAACACTCATACATTTGGTAGAGTTCTTGAAATGTACACTCAGGTTTTTTATTCTGGTCCAACTTTGAATACAAATCTATGTGTAGTGATAAATGCTTTTTTATTCACATAAGCATTTCTTTCTCTTTTCAGCCTAAACTGTTTATATTAATAATACACTGCAGGAGCATATATACAGTGCAGTAGCAACTGTACAGCATACTGCTTGCTGTACAGCCTATCTCACTGCTTCAGACTTACTGTGCAAAACCAGCTACTTTAAAAAGCTTAATCAATATATTTAATATTTTATGACGTCTGTTCATAATCTAGATTGCAAAAAATTAGTGCAAACAACTTCAACAGTAAGCCATTTAAAAGTCAAGGATTCAAAGTGAACTTTGCCACAGTATTTCACAAAATGTAGTTTAGGAAACATAGATGCATCATCTCCATTGCTCTGAATTGCATACTATGAATCATATGAAAGCAATTGCTATGGAGGTTTGGATAAAGGGTAATGGACAAAACCAGTTTATTTTGATAAGTCTGCTGAATGTTGTGATTTATAGTTCTGCTTACATCAGTTTTATTTTTCAGAATGTAGACACCGATAAAGTAGAAAAATATTTTCATAATAGAAAAACATAGACAAATATGTAAAGGCCAAGAACAGAGCAAATAATACCTTCAGCAGCTTGAGTCCTTTGAGCCTTACTGCCATCAGAACATTCTCAGGGGCATGAGACCTTTTAGGCTAGCAGGATTCATAACACATAAGACATAGAATCGTTAAGGTTGAAAAAGACCTCTAGGATCTAGTCCAACCTTTAACCTAACACCGCCGTCTTCACCACCAAACCATGTGCTCAAATGCCACATTTTTTGAACACTTTGAGGGATAGTGACTCAGCCACTTCCCTGGGCAGCCTGTTACAATGCCTGACCATCCTTTTTGATGAAGAAATTTTTCCTAGTATCCAATCTAAATCTCCCCTGGTGCAACTTGAGGCCATTTCCTCTTGTCCTGGGATCTTTTGGTATAACCTCCTTTGGTATAACCTCCTTTCAGGTACACGGAGAGAGCAATAATGTCCACAACTCCTCAAGGTGGCAACCTGTCTCTCAGAAGCAGGAAGTCTCCTGCTAAACTTTTCAAGTACACAGAGACGGTCCACCCCCTGAAATGCATGTGCCAAAACAGTTAAGAGGTTCATATTGACTGTCAAGTCACCACAGGCCAGCAAAAAATGACCCCATAACCCAAACAGGACACCTAGCACCCAGGACATAAACTTTCAATTTGGAGTTTCATTGCCACGGCAGTACAGACGCAGTAGCAAAGAGAAGGAAAGGACTTGAGTTATTTAAGTGAGTGACACAAGAAAGGCAGGAAAAAGAAAATTCTCAACTATACAGAGGCTAATCAAAACCAACTTGTTCAAGTTTACAAAAAGCTCAGAAAAGAAAGTACAGAGTGAGCTCCCTGCAAATGAGAACAGAGAGATGTGGTGGCTGGTGAACGCTTTTTCCCCCCCTTATCCTCAGAAAATGACTAAAAATACATTTTTATGGCTTGAATACTTGATCTTCCAATCATAGTTCAAAGTGTCTATCTCCTTAAGCTAGACTAATGGTCAGACTCTTTGAAACACCTAGAAGTATATTATAAAAGGAGGATCATATATAAAGGCTTGGGTTGGAATGGGTATTAAAGATCATCTAGTTCCTATCCCTCTGCCATGGGCAGGGATGCCACCCACTACACCAGGTACACTCAGGGCCCCATCCAACTTGGCCTAGAACAATTCCAGGGATAGGACATCTGCAACTTCTCTGGGCAACCTGTTCCAGTGCCTCACCACTCTTTGAGTAAAGACTTTCTTCTTAACATGTAACTTAAAAGTCTCATATTTCAGCTGAAAACCATTCCTCTTAAAACCATTCTGCTTCGTGCAGTCCCAACACAAAACACATATCAAGAAAGCAGATCATCCATATCAATCCCCCAGTGGGTGCCAAGGAAAGGACCTGTACATACGCAGCCTGTATGGAAGTAATATGGCAGTATGACTTCAGGAGGGAGAAGCTTCTGGGTCCCACCAACAGGAAACTCCTCTCACTATTTCAGTATGACAAGAACACTAGGAAAATAATTAAACTTTTATATTAGGAATACTTCACAGCAGTGTACCAATCTTGCTTAGGTTATGCCTGTGATGTGACCCTGCACGCAGCATTAGTAGATGAAGATCATTCTTAATGGCAGAGCAATCAGTTCCTGTTGCCATAATGAGGTTAGTCTAATTGCTAGATTAGGGTTGCTTAACTTGTGAAGCCTGATCTGCAACAGATAGGTGACTGTCATCATACATCTTAAAGTATTCCAGTCACCTCAAACCTACACTTCAGGGACACACTTAATTTCTCAGGCCATAACCAGCACTCTTCAAAACCAGCTTCAAAAGAGTTTTATAACTCTTGATGCATCATCTGGGAGACAGAGCATCTTAACACCTTCCACAACACAAGGAAAATAGTCATTCTGCCTCTAGAAAGAAGCTAATAATTGAACACAGCACTGTACTACTCTGCATAGACATGACAACTCCAGCTAGCAGAAGCTAGCTAGTTTCTTCATCTAGCTATGCGTGTACAAAATACTTTGATTGTCTTTTTTATTTTAAAAATTTTCAGTTTTGACAGTCCTAGATTTCATGGTAGTTCATTTTTAATTTGCAAAAATGGTATGGTTTTTACATAGTTTGAATTAAAAGAGTTATAATGTTCAGGAAAAGTACAATGTCTTGATATTAAATACGATCTGACTGTTGAGCCTTATGTAAACTAACAGGAGCTTTGGGATTTGGCTTGACAATGAATCTGCAAGGCACTTAGCAAAAAGAAAATCCAAACAGTATTAACCATGGAAACTGTAATAATAACTGGTAGTGGAAAAGCAACATAGCTTGGTAATTTTAAAGCAAGATAATATCAGAGTAGGAGCTACAGGAAGAGCCAAGGGAAAACACAGCTTCTTTCTAGATCAGTCTCAATCAATGTACAATGCTTTACAATAACTCTTCCCATTAATTTACAACTAGGAGCACAGTAAAACACTGTTTAGCTGGATCAAATCAAAGGTTTCTATAATCAGTTATATGACTACAACTGTGACAGGAGCATGTCTCTACAGAAAAACAACAGGATAGCCATAAAGACTTCTCTAGTGGGTTTCCCAGACTTCAGTGTCTTGGAGCTCAAGAGCTTTCAGACAAGCAGTCTGACACACTCTGTGGATTTTGCTCCATCAGTTTTCTAATACATTTGCAGACTTTTTAAGTTCTCCGGCACTGTTCAAACTGTAATAATGTAACAGGAAGAATGAGACCTTTCTCTCCTTTTGGAACTTGCTATCGGATAGGTTTGATGCTCTAGTTCACACACTGAAGACTAAAATAAATAAATAAATAAATAAATAAATAAATAAATCTCTATTAATCTTTTCTGCTGTATTCATTACTGTATAGAACACAGAACAGGACACCTCTTACCTTAGTTGTGCCTTTTTCATCAGAAAATCAGAGAGAATCAGAACTGTATACATTATTCAAGTTGCAGCACAATACAGATTCATCAATAATGGTGATATTAAAATGCTTTTGCTTTGTTCCCTATTCTCTTCCTAATAATTTCTAAATATTGTTTGTTTATTTGACTGGTACTAAACAGTGAGTCCATTTTTTCACTGATCTGTAATTCAAACATTACTTTCCTGAATAGTAACAGCTAGTCCAGAGTCTGACATAAAATGATGCTTCACCTGCATCACTTGGCTATTACTTTCTCTGAGTTTTACAAAATATCACTTTAGAATTCAATTCCTCAATATTGCAGTGTCCTTCAAACACCTTTCCAGCCTGCTCTCCCTTTTTCTGCCACGTATTACTTAACATCAGCAGTAAATGTATAACTCTGCTTCTCTCAGTACTTAGAAATCTGGATAACTACAAAATAAATCAAACCCTTTGCCATTACTAAAACCCTGCATACATATGAGACCGTCATGTCAAACAATAAAGCTCAATATTGAAATTCTGAGCCTCTTACAGCAACAGTTGCCTTTAAAAGTCAATTTTCTAATAGAAGTGTTCTATCCTCCCATTTCTGTACATGATTACAGATAATCCACTGACATAATGAACACTTCCCGTGAGTTAAATTACATATCAACATACACAAACATACCTTTTCGCCAGGCAGACCAGCAACACCATTCTGCCCTTTGACGCCCATTTCACCCTACAAAACAAATTGATCAGTTAGAAGTTCTACAGACCTCTGAGGTTAACAAAACTACTCAGGTCATATCAGACTCAACAGAAAAGCATCTACCTGCTTTTTTGCTTATTAATGCAGTCACTGTGGAGGAGGATGCCTTACATGTAACACTAAAATCAGACAAAACAAATATATTTTAATACGCCTATAATGTCAATTAAGACCTTCATCTGACAAATACTTGCACATCCACATTTTCATAAAAGAAGGTC